GCTGCTGCTGCTGCTGCTGCTGCTGCTGCTGCTACTGCTGTTGCTTGCTGCTGCTGCTGCTACTACTGCTGCTACTACTGCTGCTGCTGCTGCTGCTGCTGTGGCGGCGGCGGCGACTGCGACAGTTCTACTACTGCCGCTGCTGCAGCTGTTGTTGTCAAAATGCAGATAAGTTGATGGAGCTGAGAAAGATGAGGCCTGTTGTCAGTGCCGCTTGCGCGCGCCTGCTTATTAAATAGTCCGTTCTTCTTTCCTTTCAAGTTTCTTTTAGAAATCTGCTTAGATTTTCCGTTGTAGTGGCCCGGACGAATATCGACCGGAGCGAAATCAATCGAGAGCTTAATTTCCATAACAGTGTTTACAACGACGAGGAGAATTTTATTTCCACGTGTCCACCACGGCTGCGGGGGTCAGCGTGTTAGCAATTGGGCATATATAAATGCGCATGTGCCGTGACTAGTACCATAACGACAGCGCGGGCACGTGTATCTGTTAGCGGGTTACGCCGCCCGTTTCATTACGCGGGAAGGGCGAGAAGGCACTGACCTCTCTCTCTCCTGCCATCAAAGAACTCCTAAAAGAGGACGCATTTCGGGTCGCAAGTCCTTACATGACTGCAGTCAACCCTGTATATAGTGATTGCTTAAGGGAAACCCATGCACAACTGTGTCCCTTATAAACAGGTGGCCGCTATATGGAGACGTTTGCTGACGCAGGTCTGCCCGTATTACGATTAGCAATCACAGTCGTCTAGCGAAATATTAGGAATATTAATTAATAAGAAAGAGAACGAATATTTTCCGTGATTTCAACCATTTTAATTATCTAGAAACTGGGAATTCCAGTTGAATTTTTTCGTGATTCGTTAATGGAAGTCAACTGGGACGCGGGAAAGCCGAAACGGTTTTAATTAATCGAAGAGTAAAAATGGCATATTTTTACCCGGGAAACTGGAAATAAACCCCCGTTTGTTTATCCTTCTAATAGATAAACACACGAATTACACAAATCTTAAAGACTGTATAATTAATAATTATTGTATGGTCTTCAAAGGATCTCTTTGTGTTTAGCTTCTTCGTTTCTGTCATTCCCTTAAACTCTTTGGTTAATTGTAAAATTGAAACTTTTCTTACTGCAATCCGCAGTGTTGATTTATCGCTTTGATTAACTTTGCCTCTCTTTGTCTTTGGTATAGTCCCTTAGACTTTGAAGACTAATCATCAACGATCGAGTAATTAATTAGAATAATGTACGCCCTAGTTACCCCTATTAACAAGTGAACGCACGAACCAACCGAATGTTAACAATGGCCGCCCCTGCATGTCACTTGTTTCAGGCGTACGTCTTCTGCACGCTCGCCATCACCGACGTCAGCCAGACGATGATCTGCTACGGCATGACGGCCGTCGTCTCCGTGGTGACGATCAGTCACGTGACGAAGCACATCAACCGGCTGGCAATCCTCGGTGCGGGCCTCGTCTTCCAGATGTGCCTGCTCATGGTGCTCTGGCTGTGGAAGCCAGCGCGCGACGACCAACCCGTCTTCTATGTGCTCGCCGCCGGATGGGCGCTATGTGACGTCATCTGGAACTCGCAGATTTACAGTAAGTGGCGCTAGGTGACTACAGGAGGGGTTCGCGTAGAGGTTTAGGGTTAGGATTAGGGTTAGGATTAGGGTTAGGGTTAGGGTTAGGGTTAGGTTTAGGGTTAGGGGCAGGGGCAGGATCAGGGTAGGGTTAGGGTTGGGGTTGGGGTTGGGGTTTGGGTTAGGGTTAGAGTTAGGCTAAGGGCTAGGGAGTTAGGGTAAGGGTTAGGGTTAGGGTTAGGGTTAGGGTTGGGGTTGGGGTTGGGGTTTGGGTTAGAGTTAGGCTAAGGGCTAGAGAGTTAGTGTAAGAGTTGGGTTTAAGGTTAGAGTTAGTGTTAGTGTTAGTGTTGGGGCATTGTAAGGGTAAGGGTTAGAATTTGAAGAGAGGAGAGTTAGAGGAAGGTTAAGAGTTAGGATTGGGGTCAGGGTTAAGATTAAGGTTAGGGTAACGGTCATGGTTACGGTAGGCTCACGTTGGGGTTGAAGATATTAGTTAGGGTTAAGTTATGTTTATAGTTATGGTTTGGGCTACAGTCAAGGTTAGGTTCCGGATATGGTTAGGGTTAAGGTTAGGATTAAGTTACGGGTAGGCTTATGGCTAGAGTGAGCGAGGAGGTTAGAGTGAGGGTTAGGATTAGTGTTAGCGGTACGTTCCCACTGTACCCATGCAGGGAGACATGAACCCTTCAGCGTGGTATGTGGCGTGAAATGTTTGGCACGCGCCTGCCCTCTTGCTGTGTGGGGGCGTCTGCTACGGGCGGCAGTCACGTGGGAGCGGACAATGACACACGCGTGGGAATCCCTCCCGGTAGATAAGTGCTGCTGCTTGCACGCGTTGCCTTCAGTCAAACGTCGAGCGGAAAGTTCTACATCGCTCATATTTCAACGGTTTTAAAAGTCGGCGCGCATTAAATTCGCATTGTTCATCTCTCTAACGACATCGTTAAGCTGAAGCTAACACGGGTATTCGCTGCTCTATACCTCGTTAGTCGTAACTCTGCCACGATAATAATAGTAATAATTTTGCCGAGGTAATTGCCCCTAATGCCTCCTCATTAATCTTAACTATGCAGCGACGATGTTAATTTTTGCTAGCCTTCATCTCGTGGATAGATGACGCCTTGACGCGGCCCGCGGAACGACATTGCGTGGGTGAAACGGTGTTCATTTTACAGCGCGGTAGCCTGATTCTTTTCTATTGATATCCAGTGCTGTCCGATCTATTTCTGTCTGTCATCATTCTACGTCATGCGGCACATTTTCTCGCGCGTATTGGTGTCGTGTGCTGAAAAGAAACTACGTCACGTCGTTTTTCTAGCAGGAATTTAGACTTATCGGAAGTCATTTCACTCGCGATGTCTGAACTTTGCGTAGAGATCGATGTTCTAATACCCTTGATCTTGGGAATGAAAAACTTGAAGAACGAATCACGACGGGCCATTTACCGACGACGACGTTGCTGCCGGTAAAGCAGTGGAACTGGTTCGCAATTGCTCACTCCTCCTATCTCTGGTACTTTCAGAGTTAACTATATGATCTGGCTATAGCGATGGGAGAGTGGGGCTTCTCACGTGCTGGCTCACGTGGTCATCTACGTCATGCTAACAATCTCGTTAATTACTAAGCGTCCTGTTGCGGAAAATAGGTCCCAGCAGGCGAAGCTAATTATTTCGACAATCAACAAACCCACGCTCTGGTTCCAATAACTCTTACCCATCCGACCGACGTGACTCTTCGCAGCCACGTGCGACTGAAATTAGCTTTTAGCATTTAGCATTCGAAATTCCGCACCCGCACACGCCCGAACCGTGCTCTGCTTTGATGAAGTTGATCACCACGTTGAAGGGGCGGGTGCAGATAGAGAGCGCGCAAGAGAGAGAGATAGAGAAAGAGAGAGAGAGAAGGTTAGGGTTAGGGATAGGGTTATGAGTAGGAGTACGGTTGGGGGTAGGGTTAAGTTGATCTCACGATGCAGGTATGTTGAGAGTGCTAAAGTACACACTGTTTAAGTAAAGGCGAGTACGAGGCTGTGGATTCCTAATAGCTCGCATGCGGTGACGTCACTCACGACTCCCCCCACCCCCGATCAACGCAACGTGTACAGGCGAACAATGGCGGCGATGGAATTTTTTTAAATAACGCTAAACGCGAAATAAGCCTACTCGGTAAATATTGGCTCGATAGATCATTCCGGCGCTCTGACTCACACCGATAGGTGGCGCTCTCTCTCCCAGCAAGGCATGTGAGATACGATGAGACGTGAATAATGAAAACCGTGGACCTGCGCAATAGCGTGGGTGTTCTTGCGTGCGTGCGCGTGTGTGTGTGCGTGCGCGTGTGTGTGCGTATGTGCGGGCGTGCGTGTGTGTGTGTGTGTGTGTGTGCGTGCGTGCGTGTGTGCGTGAGCGCGCGTGTGTGTGTGCGTGAGCGCGCGTGTGTGTGTGCGTGCGTGTGTGCGTGCGCGCGCGTGTGTGTGCGTGCGTGCGGGCGTGCGTGCGTGCGCGTGTGTGTGCGTGCGGGTGTGCGTGCGTGCGTGCGTGCGAGCGAGTTAGCCAGCTCTAGCCAGACCTCGCGCGCTTCACCACTTAGCGAATTTATTTCATTACACAATTAGGCGGCAACAATTTTCCAAAATTGCCGTGTTTTTTTAATTTTGCGCCTATTCCCCGAGCGACGTCCTAGCAGAGGCCGTTGTCGCGGCAACGGCGCGACTCGCTGCTGTCTCTGCGGACCTGCCGTACAGCGACGAGATGAGCGCCACCTAATGATGCAAACGTTCCTCTTTCCCACACGCACTCTCCTACCCACCTCCATTCCTCTCGTATACACACACGGTCTCTCCTACCTGTCCGCCATTCTTCTCCCCAACACCGTTCTCCTTCTTGTTACATCAACCCGTTACCCCACCTTCCCCCATCAGTCTCGTCTATACCAGTCTCCCTCACCTGCCTCTTCCACCCGTTTCCTCTCATGCCCCTACCGCCCAAGCTGTCTTCCCACCTACCTCGCAACCTGCCTCCCCACCTGCATCCCTCTTTCATCTTCTATCTCTCCACTCATGTGCCTATATCTATCTCTCTTCTTCGCAGTAACTCTTGAATTTCGCCATCCCCGGTCCTCACTGAGCCATTTCCCTAACGCGATAGGAAACAATTTCACGCCCTATTAGCCGATTCATGCATCAATATTTCAGGCAATTTCGCTCGTTTTTACTGGGAAAAACGAATTTGCTAGATCGGTCCTCGTTGCTAGGTAAGCAGAAGACGGAGGGGGGGAAGCTGCACGGAGCCAGTACACAGCTAAGCGTCGCTGACAACGATGCTGCCTCCGTGGGCTTCCGAAACCCTACTGTCCTCTTCGTTGCCATCCGTCGTTTGCAACGGCTTTCTGGCACGGAGTCACCGCATTGATACATAGACATGTTTGATCTTCTCATTGGCGTCCGAGTATCGTGTGGTTTATCGCTAAGCCGTGATATTTCCGCCTCGAAATAGTCCATCGGTACATCCACCGGTGCAGCAATTGCGTGTATTTCGCCAACTCTAAACATGTCTTGAAACCGCATGTGATGCACTTTGCTATCCTTGGTTTCTTTTCTTGTCTGTTGTTGCGTGCAATCGTCAGTTTCACCTTGACCTTGACTAACTCACGGTCGTCTTACTCAGTGCGCACGCCGTCGTTTAAATGTTTGCTCGAGCTCAGGTGTGTCGATATAGAATTATATCCGTCTGATAGTCCCTGCAGATATGTGTACGTGGATGTGTGTATGCGTGCGTTTGTGCGATGACACTGACGCTGACGCAAAATGAATCGCAAATGACGCAAATTGGTTTCCTCGAACTATGATTGCGCCATTGCCATGGTCACCTTGACTCTCGCTCAAGGTTGTCTTATTCACTCCGTACGTCACCGTGGTCGTACGCTCGAGCGTGGGCGAATCACCATAATTCAACATCAGATCAGTTCTAATGAGAACAGGTACATGCGAGAATAATGATTCAAATGAGAGAAAACGTTGATATACATGAGGCGGTTCATGAGATGTGATGTAAAAATGACTCCCGCCCAAAGCGTATACATGATCTATTTCCCATTGGGTGACGCCACTGCGTTAATGTGCAGTGGGGGGGGGGTCAACGACCGCAGTTGCTATGTTACCGATACCCAGACCATTTTTGTGTGTAGAGAGAACCACTTTAGACACTTCCGTGTCTTAGATTAGCGTAGTGATATGTTACAACATACCAGAGCTAGAGATTTGCCGATTAATGAATGATAATTTAAACATATTGGTCATCTTCACAATAACGGCGTATTCGGATGATATAGAGGGCTTCAGCTGTTACTAAATTACCTCCGAATTGCGAACAGATGTGCAACCCGTGCTATTCACGCGCGCTCGTCTTCGTCGTGCACGTAAACACAACTTGCTTCCCTCCTCCCATATTACACCCAGTGACGTGTGCAGCACGCGCTTTTATTTCTTCATGGGCTTTCCACTTGCTAGAAACTCGGTGCCTCGTCGCGGGACTGCATATCTTACTAATTCTAACTACTAAATCTTAACTCTAACTACTAACTCTAACTCTATAACTACTAACTCTAACTCTAACTACTAACTCTAACCCTAACTATCTTCTTCTACGTTGCAGACCTCATAGCGCTGCTTATGGGCGACATGTACGAGTACGCCTACAACGCCCTCTACATGCTCCAGGCGCTCGGCATGGCCATCGCCTTCGGCTACAGCAGCTACCTATGCGAAGAGCTGAAGATCTACATGATGACGGGCATGCTCGGGGCCGGCCTCTTCTTCTACAGCATCATCGAGCTCAGAATTCAGAAACTGAAGCGGGATTACGTCACGACGTTCTAATCGCACCCGGCTACAACCTTGACGCGACCTCTAGCGGCCGTCTGGAGCATCCCGATCGTGCCCGGTCGCAGCTGACGTAGATATCTACTACATAAACAGTATATTTCACATATACTGCGTAATTATAGTCGATTTTTGTCGCGGCCGATACGTCAGCGGTGACGCGTGCTGTCATCTGGTGGCTTGTTAACGGCCGACCGCACTCCCCGGCTGATAGAGACAAGTTCGCAACCTGGGAATTTTCCCCGCTGGGAGTTCTCGACCAGAATTATTTCGGCGTCCTATTGCCGTCAATCTTATCTTCGTTAGGGAAGATATCGGATGTCGTATTACGGTATTCGCACACCAATCGTCGCGTGAGAATTCTAGCGTCTGCTGATGGCGTTTCGTTAGGGTTTGCCTTTGCATAGCAGCGGACTGAGGAAGCGTTGTGTATCTTTCACTACTGCCGACTTTTTCTTACACGCTCACTTCCTTTATCCTCTCACATTATCCTCCTATATAACTGTCTATCTATCTACCTCTTTCGCTCACTCCCTCTTCTTCTCTCTACTTGTCTAACCCGGTCCTTGTCTCGCTCTTTCAATCTCCCTCTATCTGTTTCCTTATGCTGCTTTCTTCTCGCTCGCCCACACATCTCTCCGTCTATATGTTGCTCTACTGCGCTCCCCCTCTCTCTTTCACACTTGAAAGTTACGATTTGACACGCGTAATTCGAAAATTGAATTTAGCGGAGCGGGAGTAGATCCCTGGATAAAACCCAACGGCGTGGAAATCCTAACCTCCCCCCCTCCTTCTGTCACGCACGCTTCTTAGCCACCTGGCTTCCGACTTCTGAAATTCGTCGCGGTCGGGAGAACGCGGCCCCGACAGTCGGTTTTCTCGAGCTGTACTAGCGTGCGGGACTAAGACCTGCCTGCTTAGCGTCGTTCGCTCGGCGGCATTACAAGCTTGAGTCGCCGCGTAACTTAGACGCGCTCGACTGATAACAGCGTCTTCGTGATTGAGGCGCTTAGCGGTGCGTGCAAACGACGAACACCGAGATAGAGAGCGAGAGGGAGAGAAGAGAGAGACTGAGGGAGGGAGAGCGAACGAGGAAAGCATGAGAGCGACAGAGAGAGAGAGAGAGAGAGAAAGAAAGAAAGAGAAGAGAGAGAGAGGGAAAAGGGGTATTTGATAGAGAAAAACAGGCAGAAAGAATGATGGAGAAAAAGTGGAAGAAAGAGAGAGCGAGGGAAAGAGAGAAATTAATATTTTGGAATGCCCTCGTCTATGGTTGGAAAACACTAATGAATCCTGTATTTTAATCGTATACGATTTCCCTACACCTTATATATATGACTTTTTCCCTGCCTCTGGCAGGATTCGCAGATTTTTCCAATACCATTCCTCTGTGTAGTCGTTGTTTTCATATGTTAAACACAAATTCAATGTATATCTAAATGTTGGTTGCATAGGTTAATATTTAAGTCTCAAACAGTTATTCTCATTCAATTAGTACCTGTATGTTGCTATGTGCGAGGCTAGAACTAATGCTGTGACAACGATTGTGGTAAAATGTTGGGAATTCAAATTTGCTCGTATTATTATGGAGTGCAAGTCTGGAACTATACGTCACCTGCGTGCGAGTTATTTAGCTGTTGCTTCCGAATGTAAATATATATGTATATATATATATGTAATACCCAATACCTTCCCTTTATATATAATCTATACACGATTGATCTGCAGAAGATGTGCAGAACGTCGCAGTGCAATTATATGGTACATCACTGTTTATTTTACACATGTTCATCAACAACTTACACAAATACAGTGATTACAAATAAAACTGCTTTAATATTTATCTGGATAAACTCTCACTGTTGCCTGTTCACTAACAGCTTTTGTTCTATACACAAGCAGTCAGTATAGGCAGTCTATTATTTTGGCTGCAGCTAAAGACACCACTGCACTGCTCATTCAAAAATCCCAAACAAGAATACCGTCATGTAATGGTTGAATTCAAACATACATTCGAACATTATTACCAAAAGAGTAGCAATTTAGAGATGTGCGAAGACTTCGAAAACTGAATTCCTGTACATGTGCTCTTTCAGACTTGCCTAAAAGATAAGTTGTGAGAAAAACTAACACATTGGAACCAGTCTATGATCACACGAGCGCGCCTACTCATCACTGCCGCAGTAAATCCATGCGAACATCATACCTAGCCTTTCTACAACATGACCCACACTCAGCGGCAACTGTCTACTCTCAACTACGATTAATCCGTGTCACCGCGATGCTGCCAACAAGAAACGAATCCATACGTGTGCGGTCGTGACTCCTCCTCATCGAGTGAATGAGAACTACACCGGTAGGGGGGCGCCAGTAGCTTATCCCCGACGAGGCTTTAGCTCGAGACGAAGCCCTTGAGCTTCTCCAGCAGGCCAATGTATAGCTTGTGCTCGTACGCTGTCGCGTACTGCACCAGCTTGTCGCTAAAATCATTTTTCACGCCTCGTTCGTCGAGGAAGTTCATGAACAGGTCGTAGAGGTTCTGCAATGACATTCACAAACGGCCGGTGTGAGCGGAACGTGTGAGAACATAAACGAATGACAAACTTCATTTACAATAAAATAGGTTTGATTGTGGTGGGCGTTAGCTCTAACCTAGAGTGGAGGGACGGGGGTTATACTAATGTCCCTTTCGTCGGCATTAGTACTGATGATCACGGCATTCGTTAAGGAAAGCAACTTCAGATGAAAACAATGATATAAACAGGGTTGTAGCCAGGGCAATTTTAGTGGCGGCTAATATCAGAGATTGCATCATACGCATAAATTATTATAATAGCAACATCGTACTTAGCCAGCTATACTGCATGCACTGTGCGCTGTACGATGTGATCAGATGATGCTTTTACACATAATTATTGTTGAGATAAATTGATGTACAGCTATGGAACATATAGGTGGACATGCCCTGCACATGGTTGATCAGTTACAATTGTAGTGAGACAACGTGCAGCAGTTTAATGAGTACGGGGACAAGAAAAATGCTGGTGCAAAAAAGCTACTGTCGTTTTAGACTTACCCCATCCATGATGTCAGCAGACACAGTGTATGTGCTGTCTGTATACTCAGACTCATGTATTGCCACCTCATCTATTTGGAATGAATCGGCTGAAAGCGGACAAGAAGAAACTGAACAGAATTGTTTCAATGTGTGCCACGTACTCCGGTCTAAATTGTACCGTCCTGAGCTTTGGTTCGAATATTTAATACTTAAAATCATTGAGCTTTTTCTTTATTTCTTAATCTAAACTATTGTTACACATTGAACCTAGGCCCCTTTTGTCTACATTGAATTATTGCCATATACCATTTTGGTTTAACCTAACCATGACCATCTTCACCAAATGACTAGCTGGATTTCAGCTTTATCTGACAAGCATACTAGCTCACCATAGCCATCCTCTTGTGTCTCCCCTCCCTCAGCTGACTGCTCCATATCGTCTATGATAGAGCACTGGAAAACGAGTGTCTGATTGCCCTTTTTCACTTCCACTGTGAAGTCTGGCTTTGAAACCATCTGTTTAAACAAATAAAATTCAGACTGTACCATAACAATAAAACTTTTTGACACAAAGAAAATGTGTTATATATAATTGACAGTTTCAATTTTCATTTAAAAGTAGTTTCCTAAAACTTGAAAAATGTTTGAAACCCCTTGCAGGGTGCGAAATTAACGCGAGACCGGAATCAAATACTCCCCAATTTACTGTCGGACTCCCTGATTCAACATGTGCAGGAGTCCGTGCGACTCCCTGAAAATTCTGCTATACTAACTAGTTCGTTTCGGAGCACGGCCTCGCGAAATTACAGTATTTTTTCAGCAAATCTTTAATTATGAACTTCAGACTATGAACTTCCTCATTTTGCTGCAAACTCCCTCTTTTTGAGGGCAGGGAGATGAGACTTCGGCGGAGGTAAGGTCTCCCTTGTTCAAAATTTGATTTCTACTCCCTGCCTTGTGCTATTATTACACACATTTAAAAAGCATTACTTTATGATTGTGTTTGAAAGTATTTACACTGGTTCTCATTAAAGCCCTATTCAATCTAATATATTAAATAACCTTTAATACTTACGGATGAAGCTTCAGCACCTTTCTCATCTTTTGCCTCAAATTGACCTTCCTGTGCTCCCACATCTACTGTGTTACTAACATTAAATGTCAAAGTTACCCTGCAACACAACAACAAGCAATTGTAATAGTGCACTAATCTTATATGTAACAACAAAAATATAGATCAGAACACATCACTTTCCTCCATCTATTATTATTTCAGGTCATCTCTACCTTTTTGCTATAACCGTAAATAGTGCGTCGAAATCATAATCACAGCATTTCCCCCTACTTATTAATGATATGTAATAAGATTGTATAGGCCTACGCCTAGATACAATAATGTAAGCCAACAAGAGTAGGGTTACAACGCGAGCCTATTCTTTTCTTTGGAGAAGCCCCTGAGTGATTCATTCAGGGCGGTTTCATGATGCGTTTTTTGAGACTACAACTTCCAAACTCGGTTTATTCTAAACTTGAACTTTTCTCCGCTATCCTGGGACTTACTATGTATCACAATACTCGGTATTAAACTATTATAACCTGTTACAAAATTTCGAAGTGACGAGCGGCGATACTTCAAGCGCCATTTCTGTTGACCTGTGACGTACGGTACAGATTCCCAATGCGCATAGCGTTCGGCTAACTTTGACTACAAGATCGAATGTATCATGGGATGCCTGCTGTCAGTCGTGACGTCATGACGAAGTTAGCCGAACGCTATGCGCATTGGGAATCTGTACGTCACAGGTCAACAGAAATGGCGCTCGAAGTATCGCCGCTCGTCACTTCGAAATTTTGTAACAGGTTATAATAGTTTAATACTGATTATTGTGATACATAGTAAGTCCCAGGATAGCGGAGAAAGGTTCGTGTTTAGAATAAACCCAGTTTGGAAGTTGTAGTCCCGAAAAACGCACCATAAAACTGCCCCGAGTAAATCACTCAGGGGCTCCTCCAAAGAAAAGAATAGGCTCACGTTGTAACCCTACTCTTGGGTTACATTATTGTATCTAACTATAGAAGTGTTTCACGTGACGTCATAGATCAGGTCACGTGTATTTGTTATGTGTCATCACTGTCATGATTGGCAAAAGCGAAGCGTGCTGCTTGACATTTACAGATGAATGACCACATGTTCTGATAGAAAGCACTGTTTATGTAGTGCACGTACACGTGCGTGCTGCGTGTGCGTGCGTGCGTGCGTGCATGCATGTGAACTTACACGTGCGTGCATGCGTGCGTGTTACTCCCCGGCCTACACTAGCTTCTCCCTGGCCTATTATAGCTTCTCCTGCCTACCCTAGCTTCTCCCTGGCCTACCCTAGCTTCTCCCCGGCCTACCCTAGCTTCTTCCTGTCCTACCCTAGCTTCTCCCCGGCCTACCCTAGCTTCTTCCTGTCCTACCCTAGCTTCTCCCCGGCCTACCCTAGCTTCTTCCTGGCCTACCCTAGCTTCTCCCTGTCCTACTTTAGCTTCTCCCCGGCCTACCCTAGTTTCTCCCCGGCCTACCCTAGCTTCTCCCTGGCCTAGTATAGCTTCTCCCTGCCTACATTAGCTTCTCCCTGGCCTACTTTAGCTTCTCCCTGTCCCACCCTAGCTTCTCCCCGGCCTACCCTAGCTTCTTCCTGGCCTACCCTAGCTTCTCTCTGCCTACCCTAGCTTCTCCCTGACCTACCTTAGCTTTTCTCTGGCCTACACTAGCTTCCCCCTGGCCTACCCTAGTTTCTCCCTGGCCTACCCTAGCTTCTCCCTGGCCTACCCTGGCTTCTCCCCGGCTTACCCTAGCTTCTCCCTGGCCTACACTAGCTTTCCCCTGGCCTACCCTAGTTTTTCCCTGGCCTACCCTAGCTTATTCCTGGCCTACTCTAGATTCTCTCTGTGGCCTACCCTAGCTTCTCCCTGGCCTACCCTAGCTTCTCCCTAGCGTACCCTAGCTTCTCTCCCTGGCCTACCCTTGCTTCTCCCTAGCCTACCCTAGCTTCTCCCTGTCTACTCTAGCTTCTCCCTGGCCTATCCTAGCTTTTCCATGGCCTACCCTAGCTTCTTCCTGGCCTACCCTAGCTTCTCTCCCTGGCCTACCCTAGCTTCTCCCTGGCCTACCCTAGCTTTTCCCTGGCCTACCCTTGCTTCTCCCTGGCCTACCCTAGCTTCTCCCTGGCCTATCATAGCTTCTCCCTGCCTACCCTAGCTTCTCCCTGGCCTACCTTAGCTTCTCCCTGTCCCACCCTAGCTTCTCCCCGGCCTACCCTATCTTCTCCCTGGCCTACCCTAGCTTCTCCCTGCCTACCCTAGCTTCTCCTTGACCTACCTTAGCTTCTCCCTGGCCTACACTAGCTTCCCCTTGGCCTACCCTAGTTTCTCCTTGGCCTACCCTAGCTTCTCCCTGGCCTACCCTAGCTTCTCCCTGCCTACCCTAGCTTCTCCTTGCTGGCCTCCCTAGCTTTCCCCTGCTTACCCTACTTTCTCATTCCGGCCTACCCTTAGCTTTTTCCTGGCCTACCCTTAGCTTTCTGCCCTGCTACCCCTAGCCTTCTCCCTGCCTACCCTAAGCTTCTCTGGCCTAGCCGCTCTCCTACCCCTGCCTTTTCCTGGCCTACCTAGCTTCTCCCTGCCTACCCTAGCTTCTCCTGACCTACGCTTAGCTTTCCCTGGCTTACACTAGCCTCCCGCCTGGCCACCTCAGTTCCTCACCTGGCCCTACTCGTAGCTTCTCGCTGGCCTACCGCTAGCGTTTTTCCCAAGGCGTGTGACAGTATATACGTACTTAGCAAGTACAGTTGCTTACAGATTCGCCCCCTTTACCCGCTAAAGTAAGTACAGTAGGCCTATTGCCGCGTTGTTGCTCGTGTTCACGTCAGCTATGTGCAAGTCCCCCGCATGTCTCGGTGCGTGTTGCTCAGTCAGGGCAGATTTTTACCCCCGCTGTACCTTCCACAGAGATACAGAAAGGTGCAGAGAGGCGAGAGAGAGAGGGAAGGGAGAGAGGGGAGAGAGAGGGAGAGAGAGAAGTGGGAGAATGAGAGAGACGGAAAGAGGGGAGAGAGAGAGAGAGAGGAGGGCGAGAGAGCGAGAGAGAGAGAGGGGGGAGAGAGAAGAGGGGGCGAGAAAAGAAAGAGGGGGAGAGAGAGAGGGAGCGAAGGGGGGAGAGAGAGAGGAGAGGGAGAGAGCGGGAGAGAGGGAGGAAGAGAGAAGAGAGAGCGAGAGAGCCGCGAGAGAGAGAGAAGGGGAAGAGAGAGAGAGAGGCGAGAGAGAGAAGACGGAAAGAGAGAAGAGAGAGAGGAGAGAGAAGGGGGGAAGGAGAGAAGAGAGAACAGAGGGGGAGAGAACGAGCCGAAAGATGAGAGAGAAGAGAGAGAGAGAGAGAGAGAGAGAGAGAGAAGCGAGCGGAGAGAGAGAGAG